AACCGAGGAGATGTGGCCTGCGTCTGTAAAGGTGAAAAAAAAAAAAAAAAAAAGCAACTACTATTGTGATACGTAACCATGATCAGAAGCTAACATTGAGGCTTTTCTGTTGCAGATGGTTGAAGCTTTAGAGAAGTGGCCCGAGTCACAAGAACCAAACCATACGGTAGGCTCGTCGTGCTTGCCGTTGGCAAGATTGAATGGCCATGCATTATTAACATTAGTTGTAGGGCTTCGCCCTTTCAAACAGTACTGGAGAGAGTATTTATGAAGTGCTGAAGCAAAACCCTCAACGAGCCGCTCGATTCGGGAACAATATGAAGGCATTTATGGAGATGCAGGAGTTCAACTCAGCCCATGTTGTCAACAACTATGACTGGAAATCTCTAGGTGGGCCTTTTCTTTTCCTTTGTAATATGCAATTTGAAACTCTTGTATATTCCTCCTCGCGTCGATTGACAAAATGTCACTGTTCAAGCAGACCAGTCCTACTAATTTTGTCTGTTGCAGGCCAAGTCCGAATTGTCGATGTTGGAGGAGGACCAGGCCACATCAGCCTGGAGTTGGCTAAACATTTTCCCCATCTCTCCTTTATTGTACAAGATTTGGAGATTTTCAGTCCCGACATTCCAGATGAAGTTGGGGACAGGATCAAGTACATGAAGCACGATATGTTTGCACCTCAAACTATCCATGCAGAGGTTTATTTCTTTCGCTGGATCTTGCACAACTGGTCCGATAAATATTGTCATCTAATTCTCAAACGTCTTATCCCGATGTTGACGCCGGGAACCAAGATTATCATTAATGAGATATGTATGCCGGAGCCGCGTACTATTTCACACTGGAGAGAAAGGTATTTAAGGTAAGTCCGGTCCATGATTCTATCTCATTGTTCTTTTCTGTTGTCCATGCTTACATCATCTGTAGGTCATTCGATCTCTTGATGGGCGCGGGCTTCGCTTCCCACGAAAGAAACCTAGATGAATGGAAAGCTCTGTTTACAGAGGCAGACCCAAGGTTCAAGTTCTCCATGGTCAACGAATCTAACGAGTCTGCGCTTGCAATCATGGAGTTCGTGTGGACAGACTTGACGGGGTAGATGTAGGCATTTGAAAACTATTAGGGTACGTTGCAACATACACCGGCGCGACTCGGTCTCAGCCGACGGATAGCTACATTGACCGAGCCAGGATCCTTGCTGGTATAGTCGTAAACTAGTTAGTAATAATAAGTCAGCCCTACAATAGTTGGATCGCCGTACAAGAGTGGGCCTCGCTCTATTCATCTTATTAGGTCAGGGTGGTTAATAACTCCAGGCTTAGAGTGTACACCCGCCATCTTGCCGACGTAACATGGTGTGGCACAGGATTCCGGGCGGCGAATAACTATTGAATCCTATAACCCTGACACGGCAGAGGGATGGCTTAACCCAATGAAAAAGACCTCATTTCTTACCGAGTCCTCTGTACAATGCCGACGTCTCTGGTGTACCGTACCTTTGCATGAACGGGGAAAAGGTGCGAAACTGGACAGTACGTCACTTATAATATATTGACTCCTTTAACGTTATTAATGTGTATCTGTTCCGCTGAGCCGCAAACGCTGGCTTGCAAGCATGTGAGACATTCTTACCGAGAATATTGGTCTCTTATCGAATGGCTTCTTCCCGCCACATACTCAAACATCCCTTGGATGTGCAATGGCTGTGACGGACTAGCCCGATTGGGCCATCGCGGGCCTGGTGCTAGCCGCAGCCGTCCCGGGGGTTGCCCGGAGCCAAACTAGTTGACATCAGTTGACGCCCGGTTTGGCAGTCAAACCCGCACACACGCGATAGGACGGGCCTTGTCTGGGTGGACAGTTTGCCGTGATGTACTCGAGTAACTGCTCAGCCGTGAATTACAGCTCGCGTGTCTTGACTCGCAACATGGATGTTCTAGTGGCACAGCAAACTGCAGGAATCCTGCATCACAGCCCCTAGTTCAAATAACGGAATTAGTCTAGAGTAAATGAATTCTATAACGAATAGAAAAGCTAGAGACTAGATCCTAGTTCAAATCCATCTACTCCAGGTACGCATGCCAGAGAGACACAAGTTAAATATAGCGGGACGGTTTTAGCCTTGGAAGTGGCGAGGCCTGTTTCCCGTCTTCTTTTTCTGTGTGTTTGTCTGGGATTTGTTTCTATCTTTCTGAGAGGTCTTCCCCTTGTTTCTTTCATCTGATGTTGGCTCTTCGTACTTGGGCGGCTCCTCAAAATCTCCGCCATCGTCCTGCTCTTTGGGCTGGGACGGCTTGTTGTCCTGGGCACCCGTCTTTCCTTTGTTTCTGTTGGGTTGTTGTGGCCTTCTCGTTTTTCCTTCGTTTTCTGTCGGCTCTTCGTACTTGGGCGGCTCCTCAAAATCTTCGTCATTGTCCTGCTCCCCGGACTGGGACGGCTTGTTGTCCTGGGCACCCGTCTTTTCTTTGTTTCTGCTGGGTTGCTGCGGCCTCCTCGTTTTTCCTTCTTTTGCCGTCGACTCGTCGTACTTGGGGGGCTCCTCAAACTCGCCGTCATTGCTGCCTCCAGGCTTCGGCTTTTCTTTCTCCTTCTCCTTGGATAAGCTGGTTGGGTCCACTGGCCTGAGTTCGGGCTTAGGGTTATTTATCATGTTCTTGTATCTAAAGGCTGGCGTGTCCTTGTCCTTGTCAACCTTTGCATCATCCAATACATCCAGTTGTTGTACTAGTCTGTTACAACCCCAATCATCCTGTAGTCCAGTTAATACATTGTTTTGAGAGTGTACTTGACTTTTTTAAAGAGATGCATACCTTGTTACCACAGGGGGGGTAAATAACCTTTTCCAGCTGCCCCTTGGCATTTCTCGTGCCTGCGATTGCGACAATGCGAGCGCCGCTTTCTTTTCCTAACCTTTCGGTAACACCGTGACTCTGATAGTATTCATGGAGGGCCATTACCTCACCGCACCTTCCATTATGCTTGTGACCTTTGTCTCCAGGTCCCCTGCAGGCGTCTAAATCGGCTTGTACTTGGCTGTCTTGCCCATATGGCGTTTGCGGGCCTTTTGCCGAGGACGCAAAGATGAGTTCTTTGCCAATAATAAGGGTAGTCATGACACGTGGCATGTCTCTCTCCGGAATACCGTTCTTCTTGGCCATGCTCCGCATCTCGTCGTACGCATCTACAGCGATTCTCTTCATCTGGCTGGCTGTAATGGTTTGCGGGTTCTCAAATTCGAGATGACTAGAGAAGACCAGTGAGCCCTTTGCATATAGGTCACGGTCCAGCTTAATTTGAAGACTGTCCTTGGCGGGGAGCGGCTCATCAGTTGGCAGTGCTGGCAGCGGCACTCTCTCTTTTTTTGGTCCTGCTGGCGCCTGCGCTTCCAAAACTTGGCAAAAGGCCAAGAGGATGGTAAGGTAGTACCATAGAAAACTGGTAGTCTTATACAACTCCATGACTTTGGAGTGTTGTTGTATAAGACTTTAAAAAAAACGGTAAAGAAAAAAGGATAGACAAGGTACTTGTAAAGATGTTTAAATGAAAGTAGGTGTAATTTTTTTTTCTTGCTTGTAAAAAGCTCAGAACCTTAAAGGCCGTAATTTGATTTTAGAGATGGGACCAGCGAAAACAAGGCTTTAAGTACTCGCATCATAATAGAGCTTAATTCTTCTTTGTCGTATGAATATGTTCCTCGGCTGGGAATACCGACCGGCAGTTTTACAGCCGAATTGTCGGGACTTGCTACGTTATCTTAAAGCCGAGATAATGACGTGATGTAGGCGCATAAAGCATGAATGCAAGTCGTGGCTGAGACTATACCTGGATGGTGATATTAATACAAATATAGCTAGCACGTGGGGAAAATTGGATATTAATTTAGACCAATTTACAAAAGGATAGGCGTCCTCACACGAACCCATGGCAATATCAATGCTTGGCTGTGGGGAATACCAAGAAAATATTAATGCCATTTTTGTTCAACATGAGAATGTTCATCAATTCAAGTCTTTGCTTTCAAGGCTGCTCGATGTTATGATACAATAAAACAAGCTGAAAGGCCCTATCATTTAACGACGAAAATGTGTTCTCGCCATTCAATCTATATGCGTGACAGTTTACGCCCCAGGTGCCTCTTCTTTAAAAACATCGAGGTAATTAATGCCACCGGATGGACTGATTTTAAAGTTTCTTCCGTTCCAGGTATTGGGCTTATCTGTGACTCCAAGTTGGAGGTTGTCGAAGTAATTATGAGTCTGAACCTTGTCCCACGCTAAAACGTCAATATATCCCGGCAATTCGGCAGTCCTAGCTAGCGCGAAACATTGTGAACCGGGGTTTTGGGGAATCTCGGCACTTTCTGCAAGGTTATTAAAAATTAATTAATGCTCCCGACTACAAGCGGGAAGTCGCTCAATGACGCGATGAGGTGTGTAGCCGCGTGGCCGCCGGAGAGTGAGCTGGTTTTTTCGACAACGGTGAAATTCATGACTCAATATCCCAAAGCACCAACACAATCATGCCATTTACGCCCTTTGACAAAAAAGAAAGGTCAGTGCATGGTCGAGCCCGCAAATGACTCCTTCTCTAAACCCTCTCCTTGTTATCACGCGGGTCAGCTCATCAATGCCTGATTCGTATTCTTCATCTAGTTGGGTCAAAAGCGTCATGGTGAATATTGGTCAGGGACGAGAGTTATGCCCGGCACAGGAGTGCAGACCGCCAAGAACACAATCGTATCACTTTTCTCGGTGCATGGAATTACTCGCTCGCTCGTAGTCATTATGCAGGCTAGCTGATCCGTGCATCAGAGTCGAGATGTGTAAATCGGCTCAGACGAGTATTTATATCCAAGCTTGTCGCCCTTGAACTTTCCAAAAGGCAACACTCAATCCGTGTCCAGCAAGAACCGACCAATCTACTCTCCTTTTCATTTTATTCTTTGGGATTCACAATTCTTGTTACTTGTACAACCGCCTTTTTTGGCCGAGAAAACTATGGTGTTGACCGTGGTGAACGCGATGCTCTGGGCAACACTGCCCTTGTCTGCCGCCGTGTACGGTTCTGCCGTTCCTCGGCAGAATACGCAGAATACCGGCGACTTCAACTTGGCTGAAATTATCCGCGATTCTCCTCAAGTTCAAGCTCATATGAAGAGCACTATGAGCCATCTGGGCAAGGTATTCCCTTTCTCAGAGGGCCCAATGAGTGCTTCCAAAGGCGGAGTTGACTTGTTAAATTCTGCGGAAATACCGGAATTCGATCGCAAATGCCTATTTGTGCGCAACTCGATTAAAGAAACGGGATGGCAATCGTCTCTTGATGTTAACCCTCATCCTAACGGTGATAATGTGGTTACCCGAGAGAATGAAGAGCCCATGACAATCAGTACATCTACGATTAAAACTCATAGTTACCGGCTTGGATGGAATAAGGAGTCATCTAAAGAGACCGGCCAATCTGTTACAGCTGAAGTTTCTGTCGGTTATGGCCCCTTCTCAGCGTCTCTTGGGACAACCGTTTATGGTAATCAGCGTATGACAGAAGGCCAAAATGCTGAGATGTCAAAACAAGAGGAAGTCTCAGTCAAGGTTGATAGGCCGTATACGTGTCCAGCATGGAGTATCTGCAGGGTTGTAACCTGGACTTACATCAGGACCATCACAGGAAGCTGCTTCCTGACGCCGTATTACAATGAGACGTGCGGCAGGGGTGAGGCAGGCAAGGGCAACTTGTACAGTCTTGGGCTTCTCCGATCTTGTTCACCCTCCGATAAGATTGCCGACAATTTTTACGAGTTTATTCTTGGGCAGACCGGATATGGCCCCGATTTGGAGGGCATCAAGATGCACATAACCGAGGGCGTAATCCCCAGGTACCAGGACAACTGCAGCTTTTCGTACACGCTGCGAGACGAGCATGGAACACCCGTCAGCGCCATCGCAAACATTATTGAGAAGTACCCGGATCCCAACGCCAAGAAGATTGAGGTGACCAGCGTCCCCAAGGCACGTAAATGGGTAAATTCCAAGGCGGGGGATCTAGTCTGCAGCCTGGAGCGCAAGTGGTCCTGGATGCCCCCTAATCGCTTTTATATTTCTTCCACGGATGGCGGAGACGGAAAATGGCATAATCGCGACGACTTGCCCGAGCCCGAGGGCTGTATGGAGACGCGCCCCGACACCGAGTCCAAGTCCAAGAGAGCCGAGGCCGAGCTCGACAACAACAGCCTCGAAGAGGAGCCACCCGCGTACGACGGCGTCAAGGTGGACATTCTTCAGGACGGAATGCCCGCTTTTCTCGAGAAGTTGGGCCAGAGCAAGAGCGAGGGCTTTATAGCAAATCGCATTGACGAGGCAAAACCCAGCAGCCGCGAGGTCCACGGGCGTGCAACCGATTACATTCCCAATGTCAGAGATTGTTTGGCAGACTTTGTTAAGCAGAATACGCAAGGTTAAGTACGAGCATGGAGCAGCCACGCATGGCTATCAAGTCGTGGACATGCTAGCAAAGACATGGACCTGGACATTCTTTGCAAAGCCGTATTGCCAGACACGTCGAGGGAGGTGGAAGCCATCAGCACTCTGGTCGCAACTGCCAACGGAACTTGGATGATTTGAAATTGTATATACTTGACAGTCGCAGGGGTTACTAGTTGTGAGTCGAGTTTATATATCAATTAAAATCTCTGCTTTATTTGTTCGTGACCGAGTCTGCAGTGAATGGCCGTGAATCGATGCCATGGCACAATGTGAATGGGGCCCCGGGGGGGTAAAACATGGGGATTCTCACACATTGACTTGTTCGCTTAATACAAAAGTTGCCGTGATGTTTATAAACGAGGTTTTTTTATATTCCCATTATAGATTAGACCAAGTAAGATAGGGGTATTCTGAAACGGCCATTCATTTCGCCCGAGCTGGTCATGTTATTCCAGTCGTTGGGCTAGATGAGGAAGGGAAAAAGCAAGAGAACGCAGAGCGCACTCAAGTGTCGTCAACCTCCACGTCGTCAGCCTGTATTCCCGCTAGTAGATTTTCCCCTTCTCTTATAATAATTTCGGCCAGCTCCTCCGCCGCGCCTGGCTGCAGAGCTCGCTCATCCGTCATCAGCGGCAGGACCTTTTCCTCAATAAGCCTACAAATAGCCATGAGTACATCCTTCTTGATCTCGCCACGATACCTCTCGACAAGAAGTATTGATCCAACAGCCGCATCTTTCCAGCAGTCTCGGCACCTTGTCCACTTTCCATCCCTGACCGTAATTCGAGTCAACAGCAGGCGGGCCAGGCGGTTTTCCAGTTGGCCCGGCGGCAAACCGCGTTCTCTGCTGCCTTGCGGGTAACGCGTTATAACCCACTGAAAATCCAAGAGTTGAGGAATCTGAAGGGGATCGTCGGCGTGGAGGACCAGCGGGTGTGCCCTCGGGACGGAAACCGGGACCGCGGCGAGTTCCCCCCTGTCAACTTGGTCAGCTTCGCAGTTGAGACGCCAGCCCATCATCTTGCCGGCTCTCAGCTGCAGAATCCTCTGCGCAAAGTATGTCTTCTTGCCGAAGTCGTCAATCACGCTTCCTTGACCAGCTCGGTAGTAGCCCAGGAAGTCGAGGGCGTCTCGGTATGCCACGAGATCAACGTCCTTGACGAGAGGAAGATCATAGCCGTTTCCTTCTCTCATAGTGACAACGATCGGGCCCTTCCATACCGTTTCAGCCCAAGTGTCGCCAAGAGGAGACGGGGAACCATGGAGGGACTCGTTGTCAACTACGCCCTTTATAATGTCTGGATCTAGATGCCATATATCGATGGTGTCTGTGTTCGTCTCCCTTCCTCGAAGGGCGTTGCCCCGGACACGCTTCAGTAGGGGCCTAATAACGCCATTGTACTCAGCGATACTAAGCAGCTTGCCAAGATCGGGATAAAAATACTCGCCAAGTTGGCGTTTGACCACTTTCGTATCGATCCATCGCAACGTTGGCTTCGTTACGGAAGAACTCTGTTTTGTTGGGTCTTTGGGCTTCATGGGAAAGAAGATGACAAGGCGATGGCGCGGCGACGGACGACATTGGAAGTTGGCATCGGCTTTGTGGCTATATTTCTTGCATAGCAGGCGGTGCACTTCCCAGTCGGTGTGCTGGCATTCGAGAGAGCAGTATGCTGCCGACTTGCATCTCGCGCAGAACCCAGCGGGTGCGCCACAGATGGTGCATAATTCGCTATCCATTCAATATTGGGGTTGCAACTCTCTGATGTCATGTCTGGTAAAGAATTTTCTGGCTGTGGAGCTGTTGGCCGCCCATAAATAAGGGGACATACATATGTGACTTGGCAGGCTCGTTTGCGCCTTTATGTTGTTTGTTCGTGTTACACGGGCCCAATTGACAGCTTTGACGCCTAACAAACAGGCCTCACCGATAAAGGACCTAGAGGTTACACAGATTGAACACATGCTCGAGCACAAGCCCTAGGCACGGCTGTTCCCTTCTTGTATATGTAATGGTCACTTGTCCCTCTCTTCCTCTTGGAAAACCAAGGGCCTTTGACACCCTACTCTATTATCTTTGAATCTAGCCCTTGGCTACAAGCCTTCAATGGTGAACCCTTGTCGCAGGCGGAGACAAGACAAACTGCTACAGTTGCTCGGTACAATTGGCTGAATGGATCAGTATTTTGTTTTAAAATTCTTCTCCATGAGGAAGCAAGGTGTGTCACCCGCATTTCCATCCTTCTGTCTGAGTGCATCAAACATCATTAACTAGCGCAGCATACTTGGGCTTAACGAAGCAGAGCGTAGGAAGCAATGTGAAGATCAAGGTCCGACTCTGACCTGAGATATTTGGAGCGGGTTAGCCGCACCCATCGGTGACAAGTGGAACGTTGTTAAGTCAAGGGTGAGTTACTTCCTCGACAAGTTTGCTGAAATTCTTGTACTAACTTGAGAGAGCCTCCCTTTATCTTTTAACTAGCATAGGTGTCAGTAGTGCGGAAAAAGGAAATAATAGAAAGCTATAACTAGTACTATATGAGATTCGTGCTACACCAAACATGCTAGATAATGCAAATACTAGTATCGTATTAAGCTTAAATCTGCTGTTGCGTTGGACGGTATTACCGTTTATTAAGAGCTTCATTGCGTGATACGCAATATTGGCAATTGCAACGCCGTACAGTCAAAGCTCTTGTTGCATTTTATCGCCTGGACATTTCAAATGCCATCCCAAAATCCCGAGTCGCTCAGTCTAGGCAAGCACGGTATACTGGTACTCGCCAAGGAAGCAGTATCCTGACTTATTTGTTTCTTATACGCCTTTCTTTTGCAATACATTTTCCCGCTCCCCGTGTAGGAAATTAAGACTCCCGTCGCTTTATTCACGGGACAGCTTCTGCCCGATCGTAATCCAGTTATCCCAACCTTCATATTATGTGATGCACATCGCGGTGTTGCCACTAGTAGACGGCTTGTAAGATTCAGATTCCATTTGAGCTACGCCAGCAAATGCAGATGTTGGCTGCTCGCTTTGGGCCAAGTCAGACTACGGGGTTATTACCATTTCCTTGTGAGGGTTCCCAGGAAAAGGTTCGTCGGGGATGCCTCAACTCAATTGTTTCCCAGGAAAAGGTTCGTCGGGGATGCCTCAACTCAATTGTTTCCCAGGAAAAGGTTCGTCGGGGGTGCCTAAACTCAATTGTTTTGGTCTTTGTCACAAATGCATTCCTGAGCCGAACGGGACGCATATACGTAAAAGCATATAAGATGGATCGAGGTACACTGAATACGTGCTTCGATGCCCGGCTCCGTCGGAAACTCCCAACTTAAACTCTACTTGCTTTAAACCTAGACATGTTTGTGACCCGACAATGTGGAGTACGTACCGAATAGGTTGATTGTTTGCGGAAATTTAATCCGCCCGGTGCGACAAAGCCCTCTACGTCATTGGTCTAGCTGCAACTCTCTCACAGGTACAGGGCTATTTGTTATGTATAGCCTTGTGACAAAACTCAGGAGTCGCATTCCACAATCGTGGTTGTCTCAAAATGAATTGGCGGTAGTTCAGCAAAATGTCGCTGCTGTATCTGTCTCGGGGATGAGGTTTAATGGGACTGGCTGTCCTGTTTCATCTAAAACAGACAGGACGGCTTTTCTTGGTTTATGCCGTGTCTGAAACATTCACGGAAGCTTTTTCTCCAATACTAAAATTATTAGTTTGGTATGTATATAGTCACATACATGTCTCGGATAGCTCTGGCCTGGCGGAACGCCACTGACGGAATATGGCATGAATGTTTCAGTATAGTCTTGACGCTGCCAGTCTCCCCCTTGTCCCATTTCGTGTTTCCATGTCTCAAACGGGTGCCCAAATGTGCATGGCTAAAACTATGATACTTTCGGTTAGATGCGTAGGTTTGTAACGGGGCGTCGTGATAACGCGTGAAGGAGGCGGCACTTAAGCCGTGAGGGGAAATGCAAAATGCTGTCTATTACTCTTCTGGAGAGGCAGAGGGGCTTTTTTCTTGTAGATAGCCCATCTGCCGCCTCAGCTGCTATACTTTTTTGGCACTCTGGAAGATAAGCTTTCAGCTCCATGCCATGAATACAGGCCGTGTCGGCAGTCATGTTGTTTTACCAAGATGCCCAGCATGGCTTAATCTAACCTTGAGGCGTCTTTTTGTTGGCCCCATAATACCAGGCCTTGGAGTTAAATTGACGCGGGGTAAAACGCAGCCAAAGTTTTTTGTAAACCTAAACCATGATGAAGTCAAAAAGGCTACAGCATACAGAGTCAAGTTCATGTGGTTTTTACAGTATTTAAGCCAACCGGCAACTCGGAATGTTAAATCATAATATTACAGTTGGATTAGGTTTCATTTGGAGACTTTTATGAGTAGACTTTAAGTTACTGCCGCAAACTCAGGAGCTAACCAATAAAATTATTCTTAAAATTCCTGACATATTGATGATTTTTTTAAAGTCTAATGCATTGAAAGTATGCTGCAACTTGGTACCCGGCCTACTCTACTTCCGCCCAGTCACTACGCGGCATCTGGCAATTTGTACATGCCAGCCATAATACATGCCGCCCCAACAAACGAGAGCTATTGGGCGCTTGCAGTTGGGAGACTTTAAAGGTATAAATACCTGCTTCATCTCCCAATTCTGACTTGTAACATCTTGTAGAATCTGCACCATTAATTCTAATTTCTCTCACTTCTGTACTAATCGTAAGCTCTATAGCAAAACAATAATCATCATGCATCTCAAAAACTTGCTCCTTCTTGCATCTGCTGCCATGGGCGCTATTGCCCAGTACGACAACGGTCTCTACAACGACGTTCAGTACGACGACGTCCCGTACGACATTTTTGCCGACGACAGCGGTCCACGGCCAAAGGTAGGTTCTCTCGGCCTCGCCAAGAATGGCATTCGTGGTCTGACATCACGCAGGCAATCGTCTTTGAGAAGCGACATTGTAAGGGACGACAACTGGTCTCAATCTGGGACGATCGCTGCAGAAATCTTGCACCACACATGTAAGCCTTGGGAAACCTTTGCAAAAAAAAAAAACATGCCCTTTAACACAGGTTGATAGGCCAGGAAATCCCCATTCGATTCGATTTCTCTCAAGCCATTGTAAATTTTATGAGTAGGTGCATTCCCTGGACGCTTGGTATTCGCTGTATTAATAATATCGCGCAGGCATCAGAACTGCCAGAGAGAATTGACCGTGGTTCAACCAATCTGTCTGGATATTCCCCACAAGGCTCGTTCCATGAAATGCTTTTAAGCCATGGAATGTGGTCCTCGCGACGCCTTTGTACAGGTTTTTCACCCCCTCCAGAACAATCATGTCTTGTGGGGTTTTTTCCCTGTACTGGAATGCGAATGCAAAGGCGTTGCTTCTTGTGCTAGGGAATGTATTTGCCACGATCGGGTCGTTCAAGACAAATAACAATTGTTATACTTGTGCTTACTTCCAGGTAGCAGTATTACAATATCTACTCTTGATGTAGGAAATCATAAGTCTCATTTTGTCAATGCTGTGCCAAACAGTCGTGCTGTTGTCGAGAAAGCCGCGCCTATAGTGCGAGAAGCCAAATACGGTGGCTGAGACAAATCTCGTTTCAGGGGCTTGTAGAGAGGAGTCGGAAATATGAAATAACCGGGCGGCGAAAGGGAGCTCGTCCTTCATTTGACGGCTGCGTCATGGTTCTGGGATGATGAAATCGTGGCTTTCGGTGAAATGGTGACAAGACGCCATATCCTCCGTCTGTTCAAGGTCTGTTCTCGGATATCAGGTTTTATTACGGCTTGATTTCAGTACTTAGGGTGGTGTGGACGGCATAGCTCACACACCAGAGGCATTATTAAAACCGGTACTGTATTGCCGACAAGACCGTCAAGAATGAAGTGTCAAGTTTCACAAAGAAAGCTTTCCATACCAGACTTGGAGACAACTCACAAGCCTCGATGATGCCTGCCTCGTCTACAGAATACAGGGGGCTGTTCATTGCAACGCGTTATGACATGCCTTCAACCTGCCACGACGAATCAACCATGGTGCTTTTCGAGCTTTGTAAAAATGGCCCGTTCGGTTCATTGCAGTACCAAGTTAGTCTCCTTGATGCACATCAGGCTCTAGTTTATTACGGTACTTCTACTTTGTAGTTTGAGATTTACACTAGACATACAGTAGGCAAAGTGAACGTTTGTTACCCTTGATTGATACATTTGGCCTCATCTTCATCATATGATTTGTGATTATATCCTCTGGCACAACCACGTTCAAAGCTAATCACGTTGCCATGGCTAGCTGAATGAATCTTTCAAACAAAAACCGCGCCCATTTGTCAATGCCAGAAAGATCAAGAATGTTTTGAAAGCGGACGTGTTCGTCGGTTGTCATACGGAAAGGTAGTGCAAAGCCCGAATTAGGTCAAAGGGGCAGGATGCAGCCGGTCACGGCTGCATCAGCACAAAGAGTACATCGTGACTGCTACACGGTTGGCACACAACAAAGGCCGCCGGACCAACAAAGGTTACATATCACGATAACAAAAGCAGAATGTCACGAGGCCTGAAATCGGTTCTTACTAAGGGCTGCCTCAGGCATAAGCCCTTACTAACTTCTTATATTGATAACGACTGTTTGTCCCTTAAAGCCACGCAGAAAACCAAGGATTTTTAATAAACTCCGGTCGATTATCATAGCCTGCATTGAACCAGACACCACGATCCAAGTCCAGTTACCCAGCCCTTGTCACAGTGACCGCCGACAAAGGGGCCACAAAGCTAGGTCAGGGGTCAAACACAAAGGCCTGAGGCAGCTATGAGTCTATGATTATCATGTATATATATTGACGGGCCCTAGGTCAGGGTTTTAGATTGATTCCCTCAAGGACCTTTTGAACTCAAAAACAATTATTGGATTGAATTGAAGTTATTCACAAGGCCTCAATCGAAGCCCTTCTTACATCGGTTGTGGCTGCCATTCACGGACTGCATTCACGGTGCACTGCGAAATTGCTGAGAAGGTTATAAAATATTCTTGGACAGTGAACAATTACTAACCATGTATCACGCAGTACGTCGGGATATCATGGGCAGAAGTGATCTTACCCTCGGCGCCTGTGAAACAAGCATGTGGCAGTGAATATTAGGATAAATCTATCTTTGTTTTACTTGTTTGCATGTTTTCTTGTCTTACAGAGTGTTTTAATTCTGCTTGCACAGCAATCGGCAGCGGACTATTTAATAAAGGCCATCCTCCCTCGACAGATAGCATGGCTACCTGGAAAACCATCATCTATTGTTAACAACATATTTCCCAAACACCTCTACCAAGTTCTTCCGACTCTGTCCAGCTGGACATTATCATACACACGTCCATCAAATTATACACGCGTTCACTAACTACTTCTTGTCTCTCTCAACTACCAAGTCATCAAACCAACGAAGCATCTTGTGGTAAGTGTAATACGAACAAGGGCTGAGACTTTTATGTCTGCAGCAGATAAAGAGGGGGGCGTCGAGACAAATCTTCCTGCCTGGGGCAGCAGCAAGAATAGCGTCGACTTTGGAATTATGTAATAGTATCAGTGAGAGTGCTAATATTCCATGTCACAGGTTAAACGGAGAGAGACAGAGACGATGTCTGACGTTATCAATTTGGACGAGTTCACTATTACGATTACCTCGAAAGACGTACTCGAATGGATTGTCGAATATATCGAATGTGAAATAGAAAAATCAGAATTGAGCTACAAATGCGTGTTCAGTATCAATGACTCCGCGACATTCCAGATGACGACCAACGCTCCGAAGTCGCGGGAGGATGCCACGAGGCAGCACGAAACTCTCTTGGGGATCGTGGAGACAATGGGATTTAGGAAGCTGGGTGGGAGTAAGTACGGTGTAAACATGGTGCTTGGAGTTTGAGATGAACACGGAGTCTGGAAGGCTAGGAAAGTGAAGTAGATAAGGGAGTGCGGAAAGAGGAAGAGCCTGCGAAGTGGATTATTGAGGTGGCTTTGAACTGGAGTGGATAATCGAGAAAAAGTACAAAAATAGATGAGAGTAGAAGATGAAGAGAAAATACAAAAAAATGTTGGGGGATATTCCAGAGATGTCTTTTTAAGCTTATATTTTAATTCCGTGCTAGAACCCCTGGTAAGACTGTTTTGCATCCGAGACACTTGACGCATCTTGATTGGCTTTAGCCAACCGAAGGGGGTCCCAAAAGCGGCAGCGAGCGGGCACCTGGGCTTACCTAAGCCGGCTCAACACCAAAAAATAGCGTCCACGATGCAGCCAGCTAGCCATAAAAAGTAACGCTTTGAATACTATTATAACCCGATCTCCCCATCGTTTGCATGCATAAAATCCCAGTGGCACCTGCAAGTATCTTTTTTTTTTTTAGTTTTTGCAGCTGTACTTAATAAACACCATGTACCTGGGCGTACCTCGACTAGAAAACCGTGACGTACCGTATCGAGAGAAATACAGATAAACACGTATTGTAGTACGTGGGAAGCTTACGTGTGTAAAGCTTATAGCTGCGCGCCAGTGCAGACTATAAATAAAAGGTCAACTGGTAATTTATCGAAACACCACGTCAAACATCACAGCCGATTCAAGGCTTCGCCCAGGCCAACAGGTAGAGGTATTTTGAGCAGGATCCCTAGCCATCCAGACCTCAAGTGTGCATGAAAGCGCACAAGCTGCAGATGCGGGTCGTTTCACTAAAAATAAAACAAACAACTTCTTTCTTTGTTCTAGTACTGTGTGTTTGAGCAATGTTTTGAGTGGATCGAGTCAAAGACGGTTTCAAACGCAAACCCGTTCCAGATCCCATTCTTCGCATCCATTTATTTCACTGTTGCCCAAGGCAAAGAAAAGCCTGATGTTCCTGAGCAGTTATATTGGTGTTCACATCCTGTTCCAGCCTGAAAGTTCAAGCCGGAGCAAGTTCTCGTTCTAGACCATGACCGGGCGGCCAGCTTGTACAACAATGGTTGGTCTTGCTTCTACCATGACCAAGTGCACAGCTGACCACATCTTCACAGGTACTTGAATGAATCCTAACAAAGATACGCGGACTTTTGTGGACAGCACCAAGTTCAGGTGCTTTTGAGAGTGTAAACATGTTGTTCGGCTTTGTGGCTGCCATCACGGCACTACCGGCAACATGACCTTTGACAGAAAAAACGACTTTTGACATATCACGCAACACAAAAGGATATGACAGGATGCAGTCAGCTTATCGTTTCTACACACTTACGAAACATACGCGTGCCTGGCAGTGAATCGTCGCCTCAAAGCATGTGTCAGGTCTTTGTGATGTGGAGAAATGCTGTTGGTTAAAGAGCATGTGTCACCAAAGCTTGTGAGAGAAGGTGTCGTCACTCCACTCTTTTGCATGTTTTCTCGTTATTGAAAGAGTGTTCTCTTGCTGTACTGATAGACGTCCTTGAGGACAGCCATTGCCGAGACTCGTCGACGGGAGTGCCTAACGCGCGGGCCAGTGTCTGGTGACCGCACAGCTACCACAACATACCGGTCGTCAATTCTCACCTACGTATGTACAGTTACACAGATGAATGAATGGATCAAACATCTGACAGACTGTCTTGTCAAAGCGGATGAAGTTGATGACACTGGACATCAGGGCCGCGGGCCGTAGGTATTTAATCATGGCCATCTCCCACGACAGATGGCTAACCAGATCAGCCTTCACTATCAACATCTACTACACACTTCTACCAAGTACTTCTTGCTTGCTTCGGCAGCCCACACATTTTCGCATACACGTCTTGCTTCTCTCAACTACCAGGACGTTGTCACATCCACGTCGACCAAGTACGTCTTGGGCCTTTCGATTGCAAAGACATCTCAATCACGTCTTGCTTCATTCAGCCGCAAACACATTTTCGCATACACGTCTTGCTTCTCTTAACTACCAGGACGTTGTCACATCCACGTCGACCAAGTACGTCTTGGGCCTTTCGATTGCAAAGACATCTCAATCACATCTTGCTTCATTCAGCCGCAAACACATCATCCCACGCACGTCTTGCGCCTTTCAACCGCAAGGACATTATCACGTACACGTCTACCGAATCCTTGTTGCTCCTTTCGACTGCAAGAAGCTGTCACACACACGTCTACCAGACATCTTTTGCAAAAAACATCATGTCTTCCAACCCATTTGCGGTAAGTTTCATATGAAACAGGGCCAAGACTTCTATTTCTGCTGCCGACGACGAGGGGGGAAATGCCGTCGAGACAAATCGTCCCGCCTCGGGGGAGAAGCCAGAGTAGCGATGTCTTTGGAACTGTGCAATGATGACAGCTACAGTGCTAATATGCTGGGTTACAGGTTCCACGGGCAGACCCAGAGGTGAAGCCTGAGCACAAGTTGAACAAGTGGGATGTGATGGCAACATGGTACCAGGGTAGCGGCGATCAGTCGCGAGCTATACGAAACCTCAAGACATTCGTGGACGATAATCGCTTGCCTTATCGCAGAAAGAACGGTGTGGCCAAATATATGGCGATATTCCAGTATACTGGGCCCGAGACCGATACCGAACCTCCGGCCCTTCAACATATTAGAAAATTTTTAATGGAACGCGGATTTGTGAGAGCGAATTTGCCGAACGCAGACGTCTTCGAGTATCATCGTCCGGGGAATCCTACCAGTTGAGGCACTACTGGCAGGTGAATCGACGAGACTGCTTTACACCCTACACTGCAGTGAATCATGGAAAGAAGACGCAGAGCTGGATGAGAATGGATTATGGCAGAAATTTTGGAAATAGATAAGAGGGGAAAATCAATAAAAAAAATTGGGGGAATATTCCAGAGTGCCACTTATGCAATATTTACACATGTGAAGGCTGACGGCAGTTATGTGTAAAGGTGCCATGCACGAGTAACTTGACCCCTGTCACGAGCCAAGTCAACCAAACGAACTGACTTACGAGTGAAGTATTCCGTCATACTCGGCCAAGGCCCGTTCTTGCTGTACGCTTTTACACCGCTGCTTAACAATCCGTCTTGATACCCGTCGTGACCATCGCGAAACGGGACAAAGGACTTCGCGCTTCTAGATGGCTCCTGCCGCGATGTCTTGTGTCTTTTTTTTTTGTTTCTGTACATGTCACATAATGCTGCATTTAAGTAGTTTAATTGCGTATCACGTACTCACCAGCCTCCCACTCCGTACACGGTCACCTCGCATGGATCCAAACGCACAGCAGGACCGAGGTTCTCATGTAGCAGTTGAGTCGAATAGGTGATTTGGGAAGATTGAAGGCTGCTGGTCACGACCGCTTTGTTCTCAGGGCCGAAACATCGAAACGGATCGAGGGCCTACTCTGCAGGATCTTTCATCGGTCATTGTCAATCATCAATATACTTACAGGGTATCGAGGCTGTGACCAGGGCAGGTGACTGGGCTTGGAACAAGGTGTTCCATTCAATGCATAATAATCGACTTTGAGTTATCAAAGGTCCTTGGTTTTCCACGAGGCCTTGAGAGGTCAGCGACCTCTATAAATACAAAAACGACGAGGGCTAGTGCCTGAGGCAGCCCTCGCTCAGGGTGCGGCCCTGGACCTCGTGATCATTCCCTTTGTTGTTGTGTATCCGATGTTGGCCCAGCGGCGCCTTTGTTGAGTTTCGACCACGTAACAGAGGCCCTGAAAATCCTCCTGAAATATCCCCTCTTTTCGCTGTGCAAATTGCCCGGATTTGTTCCAGCAGCAGCATGAAAGGGAAATGCCTGACAGTCTCAAACCGAGGTGCAGTGTCACAACTTGGCCTGTGTGAGACAGCATTGGTCAAGTCTTATGCAGGTGATCCATTGTGATTGTTGTTATCGCTTAGTCAATGGGGCGGGTGATGCATTCTTGGGCGTGACAAGGGCAGGGTATCTGGGCTTGGAACGTAGTGTTCCATTCAGACTATAGTAATCGCCTTTAGGATATCAAAGTCCTTGATTTTTCACGACCACCTAAGAGACGGGAGGTCTCTAAAAATACAAGAAATCAGTGAGGACTTGTGCCTGAGGCGACGCTTGCGTAAGACCAACTTGTGCCTCGTGAGCTTTTGCCTTTGTTGTGTACTCTTTGTTGGCTTAACGCCCTTTGTTGTGAGCCAACCGTGTAATTTTGGGAGAACAGGTGAGTGTGAGTGCCTGGGTACACGGTCTCCGCACTCTCTTTCTGTTTTCACAATACCAGTTTAGCTTGTGGATTCCTTCGACCTTAGCTTCTTTAAATGTATGTAAGTTATATATACAATCAGTTTTACATAAAGCGTCTCTTACACTCTACAGCTAACACAGTATCAAAACCGCTCGGTTACTACCAACAGGTAGCAATCCAACTTTACTAGCCTCTTGCAGCAGCTTCGCAGTCCACTCACTTGCTCATAGTACCGTTCGCGTACCATCTGATATCAATCTCCTCAATCACCCCCCACCTGTCCACCAGCTCAGCCAACTTGCCATCCATCTTCTCAACAGCCAAAACCTCAGCGACAGTCCTATACGCCGAGTTGACAGCTCCAATGATCCAAGCATGTCCCGAACTCAGCGCGTCACCAGCAAAGTGCAGTCTTCCATGCGCCCCCGGCTGCATCAAATCCGGCATGGTTGTGCTGAGATCCCCAGGGCCAAAGAGGGCGAACGCACCCACGGCGTTTTCATCCAGGTACCAGTTCCAGTGATGCGAGTCGACGTACTGCGATTTGAGATAGTCGTACGTCACGTTGTGCATGGCCGCTAGATTGCGCAGGGCGACGTCGACAATGTTCTGCTTCGCGTCGCCGGAGCAGTAGGCGCCCAGACGAGCACTGTCCTGAGCCCATGTATACGAGGCAATCATGGTTCCCGGCGCGTCGGGGGTGGTGATACCGTAGGAGGGATATACGCAACGGCGAATAGGGAGGTCTGAGAACGACTGTCCGCCTTGGAACGAGCCCGAGTCGAGATGTTCCCACCTGGAAAGGGCAGTTAGCTGAGCTGGCGGTGAGTGTCGGGTATCTAGGGGGCGAACCATCTAGTCTTGAATTTGATGCTTAGTTTGTCGGAGGCGTCGTATTGAATCTTTCGAATGGCGAGCTTCTTGCGGTAATCGAGATTGAGATCCGTCATATCCATGACTTGCATGGCACCAAGAGGCACTGTGTTAATAACATGGCTGTAGGTCCTTGTCTCAGCGTCGTTGATGACCACGTTCAAGGCGCCAGTGTCGGCTTTCTTGATGGCTGTGACGCGTTTGCCAGTCTCGACGGTCTTGTTGATGATGCTGGCCATTCCGTGGGTGATGCGGTCCATGCCGCCTTCAACGCAAAGCCAGCTGTCGAGGGGAGCTTCGCTAAAAATCCACTCTTCGATGACGGCTTCCGACAGCGACATGGTGTTGTAGTGGGTGGTGGCGTCGTTGACCGTCTCAATCCAGTCGATTTGCTGAGAAGAGTAGCCCTTGGTGGCCAGATACTGCCGCACGGAGATCTGGTCATATTGCATCAATTTCTTGAACCCGTGCTCAAAATTGACTTCCAGCGAGTGAACCAGGTCGCTGACCGCATCACTAAATACGGCGCCCGGGGACGTGTCGGCAAAAGAATTGTTTTGGATGGTTCCGCCTTCAAACCCCAGGACGCCAAAGGTTCGTGCCGAGGGTGTGTCTTGGTTGTACACCAGTCTATCGTTGAATAGACGGAACGTGTTGTTGGCTTGGAATACGTACGGTATCAGCTTCACGGGCTGGTCCCCTGGCTTGAGCCTCGAGTTTATGTAGGGAATGAGCGAGTTGCTTGCGTTTCCAATTATGCGGCTCATCCAATCCATACCGGGAAATCTCATAGCCCCGGCGTCCTGCAAGGTCGGTGAGTAGATGGCTGATAACTAGGCTCACAGGAAAGCTCACGTAGTAGTCATAATAATTCGGTTGTCCCGGCTTCGAAGCCTCCCAGGCCTTTTGGTCAAAACGATGGGTGAATACGCGCCCTCCGATCCGCTTACTCGATTCCAATATTTCATAGTCGATGTCGAGGCTCTCCAGAAGGATGGCTGCATATAGACCGGCAACACCGCCACCAATAATGCCAACTTTGAGCTCGTCATGATTTGTCGGTACATGGTTGCGGAAATTGCCGTACTCGGGTGAATCGGCGAGGATGCGCCTCACAAACAGATCTCGGGCATGTCCTAGGCTGGGGCCATTTTCTCGCTGCCTAATTGTTCCTGCAATGGCCGTGGACGCCAGACACAGAGCACTCAAAGCGCTTGGCACGAGGTTCAAAAGCATATTGATACCGTGATTTGGTCCTGTACGCGTTGGGACAAATGTTGATTAATGTATCTCGTGGAGTTGGCGAGATGCATGGTCAGAGTGTAGATTTTCGATATCTTTAATTGATTGGTGGCAGTAGCGAAAGCATTTCGGTTTTTATATTTCTTGACAGCATTCGCGATAGTCTGGTAGGTTTCAGGCCACTGTTTATAGGTACCGTGGTGGTCTATCAGAAGCACGCCCCTCAAGGCAAGTCTCAAGAGCCATAGCCACCGTCTTGATGTAACCAGAAAACTCCTAAATTATAGGACAAAATCACACATAGTGGACCTGGAGCCCCAGGAGCTGGACATAGTCTTATGACTAGCATCCCTGACATAAAGACGCCGGCATGCTTCATCTCTATTTGCCCAACAGAACAAAAACGCAAGGGAGAATTTTGACCACAATTTGAACCTAACAACCAGGGTCCCATGCCACCAAGGTGGAGTGTTGAATATGATACGTCGACGAAGGTGGTGAGTTGAAACTAGGTATGTCCTTGAATCCCGAGACGAGCCGGATAACACAAGGTACGGAGCCAAAATATTCCCGGTGGGTCGGCTCACTCGTGACCCTTGTTATTATAGGCAAAGGAGGCTTGTTCCCGAGACACCTATTACGGCAATTTCGTTCCTTGGGCTGAACTATACCTTGCCCTGATCTTTATACCCTGCTATATCCCTCCCGGCACCGGTGGGGGCGGAAATATCTAGCCGTATGACTAGTACTACAGTGCCGCAAGACAACAGATTAGTAATTGCGTCTGTCACGTTTGCTGGAGATGGAAGGTGACGCCGTTTCGAATGAATGCTCAACAATGATTGGGCTCCAATGTCCCGGAGCCTTGCAGGCAATAGACCGAGGACCGTTTTGGGAGAGTGGTCGTCCCACGAACCGGGGATTCGAATCAAGCTATTTGACGGGCAGTAATTACATCATGCTCTTGCGGTTGCGCCCTTTGTGCTTCGACATCCTGGCAGTTTCGTATCCAGCATTGGCCCGACTAGGCAACCCGAGAAATACACACAGCAATCGTCCGTATCCGTCTTGTATATCTGGAGATGACGGGGAAAGGAGACAAACCCAGCTCAAGGAGAGCATGGAGGGCATGTGATTGGATTTTAATCATGAGGGAATCGATAACAATAAGCTATTATGCTTGCACTAGACGTCAACTGGTAGTTAGCTTCGGTCATGCAGGGTTACCCCTGCGGATTGTTGTGATATTTGCAGGCTCATACAAGTGGGGACAGGACAGTTGTTGCGATATATTGTACTCTATCGGCAACTCTATACTTGGCATTGCTTGTCAGGCCACTTGTTGCAACACTTGCAAGGATTGTGTTCGATATGCCGGCCT